AGTGGGTTTGGGTGGGTTGTGTGTTAAGGGTGAATCTGGCAGTTGCTCTTAGGAGGAAGATGAAGTCACTTCTCAAAGGTTTATAGCCTCAGAAATCTAATTGAAGATCATTTGGTGGTGGTGGTGGTGGTGGTGGTGTATTGTCAAGTCTGAACTGACCTATAGCCGGCCCTCCGGTGGATTTTCTCTATCACCTGGGAGGAGATTCCCCTTCTTTCTCCCTCAGGATGACTAGTGGATTATAACTGTGTTCCTCTGAGTTGCCAGTGCAGCTCTTTATCACTAAGCTACCAGAGCTCTCCAGATGGCAATTGCTTTGGTTTTGGTTTTCCTGAAATTAAACCAAGAGTTCCAATACTTATATACCATTTTTTTCAGTAGGCAATACTCCATTTAAAAAAGTCATTTCTTGCACTAGCTTTCAAATTTGCTTACATTGGGTGAGCAAAGAGGATGCAACTAACTAAAGTGGAAATAATAAGTAATGTAGAAATAATTTTAATAATCAGATGTTTTTATATTTCTGTCTTCTAGAAATGATGAAGATTTCTAAAAGTCTAATAAAATGACTATGTTGTTGTTGTTGTTATGTGCCATCGAGTCGTTTCCGACTCATAGCGACCCTATGCACAACAGCTCTAAACCCTGCTCTATCCTGCGCCAACCGCACCGCCTCTGACACACCCATCCCGATTACCCCAGTCACCGAATCAATCCATCTCATAGAGGGTCTTCCCCTCCTGCGTTGTCCCTCAACCCTCCCAAGCATGATGTCCCTCTCCAAGGACCCGTCCCTCCTGGCAACATGTCCAAAGTATGTCAGACGAAGCCCCAGAATCCTTGCCTCCAAGGAGCAGCTTGGTTTAATCCTCTCCAAGATGGATCTGTTTGTTTTCCTGGCAGTCCAGGGTACATTCAGTACCCTTCTCCAGCACCACAGCTCAAAAGCATCCACTCTCCTTCTGTCCTCCCTAGTCATTGTCCAACTCTCTGATGCATAACAAGCGATTGCAAATACCATGACCTGTATCAGGCGCACCTTAGAGGCATGGATGACATTACAGTTTTTGTTTATTCTTATAAAATTTTTAATGCCATTTTAGTCAGTAAATTATTTAGACCTTTTGTTTTCTTTTAATAGTTACTTACTCTGAATTTACTGTTTGGAAGCAAGAACAAGCCACTTCTAGAATCAGCCAACAGTGGTAAAATTTAGAACTTTTTTGCCTTGAATTTATAGTTTGATTTTCCCCTTGTTTTAAAAAGAATTTCTTTTTAGAGCATTTATAGGTTTATAGAAAACTTGTGCAGAACATATAACAGAGCTCCTGTATTCCCTTTCACTTGCTCTGTATTATTTCTCTGGTTGTTAATATCTTGCACTGATATGCTATTATTACTCAAAGTCTATGGCTCATTTTAGTGGTCATTCTTGTGTTTGTTATACAGTACTGTGGGTTTTAACAAATGCACCAGCAGTCAGAAGATCTGGAGACATATAATGTAGACAGATCTGGAAAGTCTACTGTCAGAGACCTCTCCAAATCGTTGAAGAGCACTGATGTCAGTTTAAAAAACTAAGCTGTGCCTGATTCAAGCCATAGTCTTTCCAACCACCTGCTGTGCATCTATCTGAGAGCTGGACAGTGAATAACAGGAGAAGAATTGATGTATTTGTGCTGTAGTGTTGAAGAAGAATGCTAAATATCTCATGGACTGCCAAAAGAACAGATAAGCCTTGGAGAACGTGCAACTAGAGTGCTCTCTGGATGACAAAGCTTTGTCTCACATATTTTGGCATGTTGTTAAAGGAAGCTATTCCTTGGAGAGGGACATCATGCATGGAAAGGTAGAGGGTCAGTGATACGGGAAGATCCTCAATAAGATGGATTGATAGTGTCTGCAACACTGAGCTCAACTATGTTGGTGCTAATAAGGATGGCAGGATAGGACAGAGTTCAGATCTGTTGTTCATAGGGTTACTATGAGTTGTATTCAACACAGCTACACTTAACAACAACAACAAAATGTCGTATGTCCATCTTTACAGTATCATATAGAATAGTACACTGCCCTAAAAATGCCAAGGGTGCTCTGGTGGCTTAGTGGTAAGAAGTTGCACTGCCAACCCTAATGCAAGCAGATGAAACCCACCAGCTGCTCCATGGGAGAAAGATGGGCAGTCTACTCCCATGTGATTTAGAGTCTCTGAAAACCCTGGAGGGTTAGTTATGAATTGGTTCTGACTTGACAGTACATAGCAACAACAAGAAAAATGCCCAGGGCACCACTTAATCTTTCCACTCATCACCCTGAGCTTCTGACAACTCCTGTCTTTTTATTGCCTCTTTAGTTTTGCATTTTCTAGAATGCAAGTAGTTGGAACTGTACTGTATATAGCTTTTCTCAAACCAGCATCATTCACTTAGAAAGACATATTTAATGTAGTTTTATAGCTCATTTCTTCTTATTGCTAGGTAATACTCATTGTGCCATAATTTATTCATTCACCTATTTAGAGATACCTTGTTTGCTTCTATTATTAGATACTTGCTAGGCATTTTTAACATGATTAATAACATCTAAACTCGAGATTATTTTTATGATGAAATATAGTGAGATTTTAATATAGATCTAGTCAAGTTGTGGTACTGGAGAAGAGAAAGTACCATTGCCAAGAAAACAAATTGGTCTGTCTTGGAGAGGGTAAAACCAAGTCTTTCCTTACAGGCAAGGATCTTGAAGCTCTGTCTCACATATTTTGGGCACGTGGCCAGAAGAGACCAGTCCTTGGAGAAGGATATCATGCTCAGAAGGGTGGAAGGACAGTGCAGGGGAGGAAGACCGCAAATGAGATGGATTGATATAGTATCTGGGGCAGTAAGGGTTGGTGTGTTGGAATTAGTGAGACTGGCTCAGGACAGGGAAGGGTTCAGAGCTGGACTTAGGGTCACTATGGATCACTGGTGACTCAACAGCACATAGCAACAAAAACATACTATATTGGTTGTTTTTTACTTAAGTCATTTGTTTAGAGTCAACAAGACCTTGGGGAGGGCCTCTGTATTTAAAAGTCAGTTATATTTTGGAGGAACATTCTTCTAAGTCTTTGAGCACTCTTCTGTCAGTATGCTGTACTGAGGTAACCTGGTGTTGCTATCATGCTGAACCTTGTGCCACTGGGATGTTAAATGCCATAACAGTTAGCCATGGTGGACAGTGTTTGTTGGAGCTCCCAATTTAAGACAAGTTTGGAAGCAGGAGTGGCATCCACTTCCTAAATAATATGCCTCTGGAAACTCTATGAATTTTGATAAATGACAATAGTTAAAGGCTTCAGGACTTTGGTTCATAGGGTCACTATGAGTTGTGTTCAACTCGATAGCAATGAACAACAGTTTATAATCTGTCCTGGATAGTTAAACAAATTGTGGGGTGCTTCATGATAAACATTACATAAAATACAGTTACTGTACCAAAGAGAATTGTATATTAATCTATTTCCAGAAGTGGCATAAGATCAAAACCCAGAGCTACAGAAGGCACAATTCCAAGCTGTACTGAAGACACTCGTGAAAAAGAAAAGTCCAGGCATTGAAGGATTATCTGTTGAAGTGTTTCAGCAAATAGATGCAGCCCTGGATGTGATTACTCGAAGATAACTACTTGGCTGACAGACTGAAAGATACCCATATTTGTACCCATTCCAGAAAAGGTGATCCAACAGCATGTGGAAGTTATGAAATAGTATCATTAATACTATATGTAAGTAAAATCTGAACAGAACTACCAGAAGTTGAAGATAGATTCAGAAGAGGCTGTGGAACAAGAACTATTATTGCTGATGTCAGAGGGATGTTGGCTGCAGGTAGTAAAAAAATACTAGAAAGATGTTTCCCTGTGTTTTATTGACTATGCAAAGTCAATTGACTGTGTAGATCATAATGATACTGCAAAGAATGGGAAATTCAGGGCACTTAATTGGTACTAATGTGGAGCCTGTACATAGACCAAGAAGCAGTTATTCTAACAGAACAAAGGAATACTGTATCATTTAAAATCAAGACATGTGTGTCAGGGTTATATATTTTTACCAGATCTGTTCAATCTGTATGCTTGAGAAAGTCATCCAAGAAGCTAGGCTATATGAAGAAAATAGTGGCATCAGGAGGTGAAACATCAATATCCTGTAATATGCAGATGATGCAACATGAAGATTTGAAGCATTTACTGATGAAGCTCAAAAACTTGGATTATACAGCAACATGAGGAAAACAAAAATTCTCACAACTGAACCAGTAAACAATATCATAATGAACAGAGGAGAAAGATTGACATTGACAAGGGTCCATAGTCAATGCCCACAGAAGCAGCTGTCAAGATGTTAGTGGGCAGACCTGCTGCCAGCGACCTCTTTAAAGTGCTGAAGAACAAGGATGTCATGGGGTTTTTTGTTGTTGTTGTTGTTGGTTTTTGGTTTTTTTTTGGATGTCATGTTAAAGACTGAAGTGCACTTGGCTCAAAAACATGTTTTCAGTTCCTTCAGGTGTAAAAGTTGGACAGTGAATAAGGAAGGTAAAAAAGAATTTATGCTTTTGAATTATGAAGTTGGCAAAGAATATGGAATATACCATGAATTGCCAAAAGAATAAAAAATATGTCTTAGAAGTGCAGTCAGAGTGCTCCTTAGAAACTAGGGTGGTAAGACTTTCTCTCATATACTTTTGATATGTTACAAAGAAAGGCCAGTCCTTGGAAAATGACACCTGTCAACAACAGCAAAAAAAACCTCATTATATCTTCTATGCCTTATCTAGATAAAGATTTCTGTTCAACGGAATTGTATGAAATCTTTCTTCAATTTATTATTTATTTTAGTATACATCAAAAATATGTTTGTTGTAGAAAAACAGAATATACAAATTTTGAAAAAGGAAGTCTGATTACTTGGTTGATTGTATTCTGATTTTGTTTTTTTCCTCCTATATTATTTCTTTTAGAAATATGGCTATACCCATCTTTCTGCAGGAGAACTTCTTCGTGATGAAAGAAAGAACCCAGATTCACAATATGGTGAACTCATTGAAAAGTACATTAAAGATGGAAAGATCGTACCAGTTGAGATAACCATCAGCTTGTTAAAGAGGGTAAGGATTATGAATTCTAATCATTCCAAACCAGCAAGAAAAGAGATACTAAGTCCACCTTTTATTTGAGTAATGGGAAAATCCAGGAGTTGAATTTCTTCTTTGTGGGTTTTGGTCATGTTTTAAAAAGTCATGGTATTTGAAAATGGTTGAACTGGTTTGATCTTAGATTATGTAGAGCTCAGCTTAACATGTATATGTATACACACTGACTATTCTTTTCCCCAACTTTCAATACTTTTCTCCTGTATTTCTATCCACCTCCCCTCCTTTTCCATTTTCTTGTAAGTTTTCTCTGCTTTTTCTTTTCAAACCTGGGGCCTACTCATTGCTGACATTCTCTCAGTCTTGATGATGTATGTATCTTATGTATGTATCACCATCTTCAACATGAATGTTATGAATAATAGCTGTCAAGCTAAAATAGATTTCCTCTAAAGAACAGGCACCTTGCATTGATAATTCTGCACTATCAACTCCAAAAACTATGGTCATTAGAAGATTTTTTTTTTTCTTTTTCACTTATGAGAAAAAGTGAAGGAGAAATGCAAGAGTGAGAACAAGAAACAGCTGAAGCCTCATGGGAAAGAGATAGATAAGCTTCTGGATGGAGCAGAGCCACATGAGGTTGAAGAAAAGACAAGTTTTCTTACCCTTTGTCTCAGAAGTTGGAGAAAGTTGCTTTCCTTCCACAATGAATAATCTCTAATCCCTGATCTATTACTTCCCGTATTTTATATATGAACATTGTTTAAGACTAAT